ATAATCGGAGGAATGCCTAGAGTGGACACAGTACAGAGCATGAATTAAGGAATAAGCAGCTTATATTCTGAGGAATGTCTACAGCAGACACAGTGCAGAGCATGACTTAAGGGAAAAACAGTTATACCAGGACAAGAATCCATGTTCCAGGCGGCAGCGTTCAGTATCGTAAAGATACCCGCTGTATGGCAGGCTTGGGGCGAGAGCCACTCCTCCTGATAAAGGAGTCCGTAGGACCTTGCTCCAGTTCTTGTGGAAGGCTGCCCTCAGAACGGCAATCCACCTGGGTGACTGTGAACTTAATCAGCTCTTGCTACTGTGATGCTTGAAAAGCATCTTCCCATAGAACCCATTGGAAGCTGCCAGAAGGTGGCAGTAACCCTGACAGCTCTGTCACTGCTATGGGTCTTAAAGCATCCTCCTATAAATCTTCCTAGAAGTAGTTTGCCCATAGATAGAAGTATTGCATACTGCACCCTATTCACTGAGCACGGCCCACCTTCATACCTCGGTGACCTAATGGGGATGGACCCCTTACTGCGCATGGCCCTTGCCTTCGTGGGAATGGGCCCCTTGCCGTGCACTGTCCACCTCCTGGCCTAGGTGACCTAATGGGGGTGGACCCCATGTTTTATTGTTCACGACCCTATCACTATCCTTAAAGATGATTTCACTCACTGCCCTGCCCTGCCCCCGAACCTATACACAATAAATACTCATGCTTCTGGACATTCGGGGCCTCGTCTGACTCTGCTTATAGGTGGCATGGCCCCCCGAGCCCAGCTGCGTTTTTCTTGTACTTCTGTGTCCTGTCTCTTTATTTCTCGGATCCTGCGCCTCAGCACAGCATAAGGCTCACCCCACGACCCTGTGGGGCCATCAGCCCTACATCGGGCTCCCAATGTGCCCTACACAGACCACATCTGTTGCGATGGTTTGAACTGTGGGCAGCCATGAGAGATGGAGTGTGAGGGAAGACTTACTGGAGAAGGTGGGACACCATTGAACCCTGGATGCTGGGTAGGATTTAGGTAGCTTTGGTGGGAGAAAAGAAAGCGTCTTAGATCAGAGCACTGTGTGAGTGGGCCGGCCTGGAGTCTGGCTTGACCCTGTTGTGTAGAATTGAAGCTCTGGAGTCTGATGAGGCCGTTTCAGTGTTGCACTCACCAGCTTTGTGATCTAGGGCAAGTAATGGAACCTTCCTAAGTCCGAGCTTTCTCATCTGTGGAAGGGGTTGTCGTAGTACCTACCTCAGAGCTGTGATGACAGGGAGCGCAGGTAGCCTTCTGAGAGAGACTTGCAGGTGCTCTGGGTGGACTGTAATTCACATAGGATATGTGGATGGTGGCAGAGGCTGGAGAGGGATTGTGGGGAAGGATCTCTGAGACTTTGAAAGGCCTGTCTAAACTTAATCGAGTTGGCTGCGGGGCACCGTAGGCTTCCTGGGCAGGCTGAGGCTATTAAAGTGCTAGAATGGCATGAAGGAAGGCATGTCTGGAGGTGACAGTGGCAGCTGGCAGGAGTTTTTAGGGCCTGGACAGTGGGCCAGCATGCTGGTGATGAAGAAGAGCTGGGCAGTGGGGACACAGCTTTTCCTGGCTGTCTGGGAGCGAGAGAGGGGCATCTGAGCTGGTGCCAGTTTTCAGGGTACGAGAATGGAGAATGGGTGGAGGCAGGAAGTGGGCAGTGGAAGTGGGCTTTTCAGAGATGTTATTTTGTGTTTCAGCTCAGTTTTAAACCTTTCGACCTTAAAGTACCATAGGGCTTTTAAGTGAAAATGTCTTGGGTGACCCTGTTTGAGGTGGGGTAGGCATGGGCAGGGAGGATGGCTCCCGAAGGAAGGAAGGACGAAGAGAGAAGCAGCAGGAGATGAGCTGGTGTTGGAGGACTAACGTGAGGGGTGACCAGAGTCTAGGGCTGGAGGTCACGCATGGGATGCACACGGGGACAACAGAATCAAGATGAGAGGGAAGGCCTGGGGTCAGGGACACCCCTGTCTCTGTTGGTAGGCTGTGCATCTTTTCTGCATCGCAGCCTTGCCTCTAGGTGTTTAGAAATATCCTCCCTTGGTGGACTCATTAGAGAGGGCTGTGGGCTGTCTCGGTCACTGAGTCTTGCTCGGTCACAGGTCTAGGTGGGCTGGCTGTTAGGGACTGTGAGGGTTTTAGCAGGAGGCGTGACAGGCAGTAGACACTTGGTACAGGACAGGTGCCATGTTCTGAAGCGACTAGGGACTCCAGCCGTTGTGGTCACCGAGCTGGTCTCACAGCAGGAGGCTGGGTCAGTTCTGGCAAAGACACCTCATCTCCCCCGTCTTTACCTTGGTTTCTCAAGATTTTGTTGTTTTACCAGTTTTAGAGCTGTGATCATCTGAAACATGGTCTTGTTTCTGAGGTTTCAGAAGTCTCTGGTTCTTTGGCTCAAAGCTTTTTTTTTTTTTTTTGAGATGGAGTCTCAAGCTGGAGTGCAGTGGCCTGACCTCTACCTCCTGGGTCCCAGTTCAAGCAATTCTCCTACCTCAGTATCCCAAGTAGCTGGGATTACAGGCACGAGCCACCACACCCAGCTAATTTTTGTATATTTAGTAGAGATGGATTTTCACCATGTTCACCAGGCTGGTCCCGAACTCCTGACCTCAGATGATCTGCCTGCCTTGGCCTCCCAAAGTGCTGGGATTATTCAGGCATGAGCCACTGTGCCCAGCCTCCCATACCCTTTCTTAAGGCCTCTTTTTGCAACGTTCTGTCTCATCTGCTAAATAACGGTGCTGGTAGGGGGTCAATAATGTGTTTTTAAATCACTATTTAGAGTTATTCTGGTTTTCTCTGCTTCCAAGTAATTGCTCCTGTGCTTTCAGCCTCTGCTTGTGCAGTTATTGGAGCTTCTTAGTCTTGGGACTGTGGCTTCCCACAGGGAACAGAACCCCTAGAATGGTGCAGTGTAGGAACTCAGAAATAGCAACGTCATTGTTTAAAAGCCACTTGAGCTTTGCAGCAGAGGGTCAGATAGCAGAGTGTTTCCGTACATTCTTCACCCACCTTCCCCTCATGGGAGCACTTCGCATAACCTGGCGCGTTTATCGAGACTAAGACATTGACTACTGTTAACGAAACTACAGGCTTTATTTGCATTTCCCCACCATCTAGTTTATTTAGCTTTGTGTAATTTTTCAATGTGAAAAGGCCCTGAGCAGCTGCCTAGGAATCTTCCAGTCTGCAGTGTTAAAATAATAACGTAAACGCAGCATGCTTAAACTAAGGATAGACTTGACAGCTGGGGTAACTGCAGGAGGTCAGAGGAGACTTGTTCTTGGGCCAGCCTCCACACTCCGCAGGGCCTCCTCACTCCGCAGGGCCTCCCGGGCTGGCCTCCACACTCCGCAAGGCTTGCTCTGAGGCATTAACATAGGTTGGAGCCTGCGGTGCCATCCCAGAGCCACCTCTGCATACTGTGGCTACAGAGGGCAGGGCTGCAGCATCTTGGGCATGTGCACAGTCTCCAGACCTCAGTTTCCTCACTTGTGAATTGAAGGCGTTGAGTTTGCTCCCTGGGGTCATTCCTTGCGGGTATTTTATGACTCCGGGGCCTCTGAGGATCTGTCAGGCCCCGGAGCTGAGTTGGGCCAGGCCGCCTCCTTCCCTAGCTCTCTTGTCTTGTATGTGGGTGAGTGTTTACACCCAGTCCCCGCGCAGCCGCAGAGGCACCTTTTCTTTATTTCTTCACCCAGTAACCCTAGTCTGTGTGCTACTGCCCAGGTGGCCACGCAGTCCCTGCTGGGGCAGCAGACCTGGTGTTAGCAGAGCCACGTCCCAGTGGTGTTGACTCACAGCCTTGCGCTGGCCCTGTAGCTGGCCGGCAGTGACTTCCTCCTCTGCAGCGGCAGTCTTGGGCGTGTATCGTGGGGGTGGGGGTGCCCTTGCCCGTGTGAGCTTTGGACTGTGAAGCCAGTAACCTTCCTGCAAAGCTGGGGTGAGCCTGTGTCTGCCTCCCAGGTGGGCGTGAAGCTGCCTGTCCCTGAGGTGAGGTGCTCAGACTCCTTCCTGCTGATCTGGCTCCTAAGACAGAACATGCGAGGACGACAGAGAACACAGAAGATAGAGCGAAACAGACAGCGCCGCTTGTCCCTCTGGTCTGTGGGTCTTCTCCTCGGCACAGGGCGGGGGCCGGCTGCGCCCCTTTTGTCAGTGGTTTGACTGGGACGCAGTCATGCTTATATGTCCCCAGCTGCCCAGAGAAGCAGAGCTGTGCCTTGTGACAGAGCCCGAGTGTTCCCAAAGTCTCCCCTATTGCCTGGGCCTTTGCAGATTTTTTTTTCTTTGCTGGCCCTGATACAGGGTGTTCTAAAAGAAAGGATCCCTGTCCCCTGGGGTTTTCCTGTGACTGAGCGGGAACCCGGCAGGGTGAGTGGGTTTCCCTGTTGGCGTAAATCACAGAAAACCGCACAGCAAGGCAGCGTCCGTGTTGGTGGGTGACACGAGGGGGACCTGAAGTTGTGGGGGACTTGGGATGGGAGGAGTCAGGCTCTGGGCTGGTGGGGACAGTGGAGGGAGGAGTGTGCTGCTGGCAGGACCTGGAGCTTCCAGTGGGGCCTGGCGGTGCCACCACTGTAGGCTTTGTGCTTGTGCATGTGTGTGCCTGTGTGTGTGGGGTGGGTAGTGGGGTCTGGCCACCACCTTGGGGGCAGTGACCCCTGGGGTGTCTAGTAGCCTTAGTATGTTCTCCTTGAGCGTAGGGTTGGTGTGCCATGTACAGACCATGGTGGCTGGTGTGTCCATGGACCCTCTGACCTGGAACATGCAGGAGCTCGTGGCACCGAGGTCACGGGGGCTGTTGTGTTGTGTCCTGGAGGCCGCCTGGTGGCAGTGCTGGACCACCTTGGGAGTGAGGGGCTGGGAGGGGAGGTGGGCAGCACCGTGTGGGGGGAGCTGTTGCTACAGGGCCGATTTCCTATGACCCCCCGGGCCTTCTGACCATCCCTCACTGCTGGCTTCTTCCCCCAGGCTGGCGCCCATGCGGCTCTACACACTCTCCAAGCGCCACTTTGTCCTCGTGTTTGTCGTCTTCTTCATCTGCTTTGGCCTGACCGTCTTCGTTGGGATCAGAGGTAAGGTTTGGTTTTTCCTCAGTGAATCTTTTGCCCTGTGTGGCAGTCCTGGCGTGTCACTTTTGGCCAGCCCAGCTGTGCCCCTGGTTCCCCACTGCCTAGGGCCCCAGCACGGAGGGAGAAGTGCCCACAGGGTGGACAGGGTCCCAGCTCTGTGCTTCTAGCTGCTACGTCTCTCCTGAGGGAGGTGCAGTGTGCAGCCCCAAGTGACCCTGGCTATGCCCTGTGCAGCAGCCAGGGCTGCATTGACCACATGCCTTTGATTGGCCAAGCAAACATTTCTTTCTTTTCTTTCCTTTTCCTCTTCCTTCCTTTTCTTCCTCCCTTTTCATCTTTTTCTTTCTTTTGAGACAGTCTCCTTCTGTTGCAAGGCGCCAGGCTGGAGTGCAGTGGCGCAATCTTTGCTTACTGTAACCTCCGCCTCCTGGGTTCAAGCAATTCTCCTGCCTCAGCCTCCCAAGTAGCTGGGACTACAGGTGCGTGCCACCATGCCCAGGTAATTTTTGTATTTTTTAGTAGAGACGGGGTTTCACTATGTTGGCCAGGATGGTCTCAATCTCCTGACCTCGTGATCCTCCTGCCTTGGCCTTCCATAGTGCTGGGATTACAGGCGTGAGCCACTGCGCCTGGCCTCCAAGCAGACATTTCTAATCTGCTGTGCCCTAGGCCCAGCTGGGCACGGTGCAGCCGGAACCTGCTCCCTGTTAGGGGACACGGGCTGAGCAAATTACGATGCAGCTGACAGGGGTGGGGAGGAGAGTGGGGGGACTGCTGGCTCTCTCTGCTGGCTGAGCATAGGGTGGGTGGCTTCAGGAGCAGTGAGATTATCTATACCCTTTCTCACAGGTGGAGAACCAGAGAAGCCAAATGGTTTCCACAAGGTTCCCAGAGACCCAGGTCTTTTCGTGTGTACAGGGCAAGCAACCAGGAGTCTGACTTGTCTGGAGAGAATTTATTCCTCCATTCTTTGTTTCCGTCGGAAATAAAATGTCTTTGTCCATTAGGGCGATTTCTGGTAGGTGTTGTTTAATTGATGCCCTTAATACTAAAATGTGAATGGCAATTAGGCTTAACCTGTCCCAGAGGCAATTTGTGCCTCAAAAGGCTAGTTTCTGGCCAGGCTTGGTGACTCATGCCTATAGTCCCAGCACTTTGGGAGGTCAAGGTGGGTGGATCACGAGGTCAAGAGTTCAAGACTAGCCTGGCCAAGATGGTGAAACCCCATTTCTACTAAAAATAGAAAAAATTAGCCGGGCGTGGTGGCAGATGCCTATAATCCCAGCCACTCAGGAGGCTGAGGCAGAGAATTGCTTCAACCCAGGAGGCAGAGGTTGCAGTGAGCCTAGATTGCACCACTGCACTCCAGCCTGGGTGACAGAGTGAGACTCTGTCTCCAAAAAATGAAAAGTTAGTTTCTTACCCCAAACTGTGTTGGTAAATGGACAAGGAAGCTGGAGGGGGAGGGTGGCTCTTCAGGTGTTGTTCATCTGATGGTGATGGTGATAACAGCTGTAGCCAACTTCTTTCCCGTAAAGTCATCAAGAAGTAAAAATTATATTAATTACAGCACAAGATATATCCATGATCTTACTTGATTTTCACTGCTATCCTTTAAGATCAGTAGGGGAGGCATTAACATTTTCGTGGTCTCCAGTCTCAGTGGGACCTCAGCCAGTTTCTGTTCCTTGAGGCCAGTCTCTGTCTCAATGTGCATGATTATATCCAGCCCCCTCCGCTCTTGGAGAAATGTGAAGTGATGCACCAAGGCTGAGATACAAGTGAAGTCAGGGTTTCTCTGTCCCCTTCGTTCTTCCGTACAGTGCTGTATTAGTCAGGGCTCTCCAGAGAAACAGAATCAATAGGAGATACCTGGCTAGCCTGCCTGTCTATCCTATCTGTCTTTCTAACTATTATAAGGAATTTGCTCACATGATTATGGAAGCTGAGAAGTCCAAAGATCTGCAGTCAGCAAGTAAGAGGCCAGGAGAGCCCATTATGTAGTTCCAGTCTAAGCCCAAAGCCACGAGAACTAGGAGAGCTGGAGTAAGTTCCAGCCGAGTCCAGGTCTGAGTCTGAAGGCAGAGAAGACCAGTATCCCAGCTGGATATAGAGAGAGTCCGGCCAGAAAGAGCGATTTCTCCCTTACTCGGCCAATTTGTTTTATTCAGACCTTTGATGGATTGGATGAGGTCCACCCACATTGGAGAGAGCAATCTGCTTGACTCAGTCTACCGGTTCACATGTTAATCTCATCCGGAAACAACCACAGACACAGTAGAATAATGTTTAACCAAATGTCTTGGCACCCGTGACCCAGTCATGTTGACACATAAAATTAAGTATCACAAGCACACTCTGCTCCGGATTATTTCATGTGATAAGGTTCTTACAGGGTTAGGAGTACCTTAGGGACTATCAGTTTAGTAACTGTCATTTTGCAGACGAGGAACTCAAGATCTAGAAAGTCTTGTTAGTGAAGACTACAGTCCAGATAGTTCTTTTTTTTTTTTTTTTTGAGACGGAGTTTCGCTGTTGTTACCCAGACTGGAGTGCAATGGCACGATCTCAGCTCACTGCAACCTCCGCCTTCTGGGTTCAAGCAATTCTCCTGCCTCAGCCTCCCGAGTAGCTGGGACTACAGGCGCGCACCACCATGCCCAGCTAATGTTTGTGTTTTTAGTAGAGACGGGGTTTCACCTTGTTGACCAGGTTGGTCTTGATCTCTTGACCTCGTGATCCACCCGCCTCAGCCTCCCAAAGTGCTGGGATTACAGGCATGAGCCACTGCACCCGGCCTTTTTTTCTTTTTTGAGACAGCATCTCACTCTGTTGCCCAGGCTGGAGAGCAGTGGTGCGATTTCAGCTCGCTACACCTCCACCTCGTCAGTTCAAGTGATTGTCCTGCCTCGGCCTCCTGAGTAGCTGGGATTATAGGAGCCTGCCACAACACGCCTAGCTAATTTTTTTTTTTTGTATTTTTAGCAGAGGCAGGGTTTCACCGTATTGGCCAGGCTGGTCTGAACTCCTGACCTCAGGTGATCCAGACACCTCGGCCTCCCAAACTGCTGGGATTACAGGTGTGAGTTACCACGCCCATCCGAGCCCAGGTTTTTCTGGCTCCCAGTTCTTAATTATTTCCAGGAAACCAGACTGTCTTACTTCCTGGGTTAGGAGTTTACTTAGATCATGAATCTGTTTAACAGGAGCCTCATTGTGCCCACAAGCCTCCTTCCTACAGAGACGTCGTTCTCAGCATTCCTAAACGCATTCCAGAGACATACTACCCTGGTCGTGTACTTCCTCCTTTTGAGTGGAGGCTTGTTGGTTGCAGACAGGGGATTGTCACTGAGGCAGCTCAGAAAAACTGACATCACCAGTTGAGAGTGATACGTTTTGAAACAAATCCAGTTCTAAATTAAAATCGGATTCACAGTGTTTCCTTTGACTACTTCTTTTAAGGCCAAAAATCTGAGGAAATGCGTTGTAGGAATTATGAAGCTTAGAGAGGATTCTGGGAAGATGGTGGAGTGAGGATCCATGTCTTCTACATAGAGGACAACTGTGGTGGCAGAATCTGTGGTGTAACTGTTTTGGGAACTCCGGAGTCTCTTGAAGGCTTGCAGCTTCGTAGGGAATGCTTGTACATTGGATTGTGGTTAATTTTGGTCGGTGCAGCCCTTAGTTCAGTAGCAGGTACCCATCCTCCACTGCAGGCCTGTAGCAGGCAGCTGTGTGTTCTAGAGCTTGTAGAAACCAAGGTGGGCAAAAACAACCCTGCCCTGCAGATATCAGGGATCTGTGCTCTGACTGCTGCTGCTACTTCTAATGGCAGAAGTACAGTGAAGAAAGAGTGGCTGCTGCCGTTGAACCTCCCTCAGTCGTTGCAAGCCCCTCCCCCTCTGGCTAAACTTACTTCCAGGGGATCTAAAGGGCTGGCACTTTTTTTACCCCCTCATTTTTCCCTTTGTCCTTTTTGGGGAGCCAGACATCGAAGACCAGGACATTCAAAACTGCTAATACAGGGAAATTTAGAAAGTCACCACACCTGCCCAGAGGGAGGTGCGGGCTCAGACCAGACCTGAGAAGACTTGAAGTTTAAATCTCAGGCTGATCCTTTGCACAGAGACAGTCTGTAACAACAACAAAAACAAAAATACAAAAATGGGTAACAGGAAACCCTGGGGAAGGGGAGAGTCTGGTTTCCAGAGGTACATTATTAGATTTAAGTGTTCACTTTTCAGCCAAAGGTCACAAGGCAAACAAAGCCACAATAAAGTGTGACCCATCAAAAGGAAGAAAATGAACCATCAGAATCTGTCCCTGAGTAAGACCATGTGACAGACCTGTTAGGCACAGACTTTAAAACAACTATCTACAACTGTCTTGAAGATGCCCAAAGAACTAAATGAAGAGACATGGAGAAAGTCAAGAAAGCACTGTATGAATAAAAAGATAGAAAACATAAAAGGAAACCAAAAAGAAATTCTGGAGGTGAAAAGAACCCTGGAGGGATTCAGAGGCAGATTTGAACAGGTGGAGGAAAGAATCGGCGAGTCAGAAGATAGGGCAATGGAAATTTTTGAGTCCGAGGAACAGAAAAAAAGCAGAAGAAAAATGAACAGAGACTGAGGGACCTTTGGGACACTGTCGAATGGACCAGCATACACATTGTGGGAGTCTGAGAAGGAGAAGAGCTAGAGAACGGGTCAGAGAGAATATCTGAAGCAGTGATGACCGAAAACTTCCCAAATTTGATGAAATGTGAATATAAACATCCCAGAAGCTCCACAAACTCAAAGTAGAATGAACTCAAAGAGACCCACCCTGAGATGCATTATAATGAAACTGTAGATACCCAAAGACAGATTCTTAAAAGCAGTGAGAGTCACTCATCACATACAAGGGATCATCAGTAAGTTTGTCAGAAGATACCTCATCAGAAGCTTTGGAGGCCAGAAGGCAGTGGGATGATATATATAGAATCTGTAATATGGATGAATCTTGAGGACATTATACTGAGTAAAATAAGCCAGTGGCAAAAAGATAAATAGAGTAAGATTACAGAGGGTACTTAGAGTAGCAAGATCATCAGTACAGAAAGTAGAGTGGTGGCAGCCAGCGACTGGGGAGGGAAATGGGGAGTTGTTTGATGGGCGCAGTGCTTTAGTTTCCCAAGATGAATTATGGAGATAGCAGGGATGGTTGCACACCATGAACGTAGTTGCTACCACGGAACTGTACACTTAAAAATGGTTCAGATGGGCCGGACACAGTGGCTCACACCTATAATTCCAGCACTTTGGGAGGCTCAGGCGGGCGGATCATGTGGTCAGGAGTTTGAGACCAGCCTGACCAGCATGGTGAAATGCCGTCTCTACTAAGACATAAAAATCAGCTAGGCATGGTGGCGCATGCTTGTAATCCCAGCTACTCAGGAGGCTGAGGCAGGAGAACTGCCTGAACCAGGGAGACGGAGATTGCAGTGAGCCAACATTGTGTCACTGCACTCCAGCCTGGGTGACAGAGTGAAACTTGTCTCAAAAAAAAAAAAAAAAAGTTCAGATGGCAAGTTCTTGAGTCTCGAGGAAAAAACAATGGTTAAGATGGCAAATCTTTGTGTATATTTTATCGCAATAAAATTGGGAGAAAAAGAATTTGTGATGTTTGTATACCTGTTATTTCAGTTAAAACTCTCTGCTTTCCTGCTCATATAAGCACATCTTATGTTTATAGCCCTTAAGTATTTTTGGAAGATGGGATTAATTGGATGAGCGGATAAGTGTGTCTTAGTTTTTGGAAGAAATCTTTATATTTTACAAAACATGTAAGACAAAGTCTCTACAGTTCATGCCCTCTGGGCCCATGCATGTAGAGAGAGCGCTCGCTGAGAGAGCAGCAGGGTGTTGCCCGTGGAAGCCCTGTATGTTGTGTGCCCGTTGTACTGGTTGACTTGTGTTGGGAAGCCCTGAGGCGCAGAAGAGTGAACATTCTGTGTCTGTTTGTGTGTTTATGTCTTTTACTTACACATTGTAAAATCTCTAAAGAAAAACCAGGTAAATTAAGGCCACTTCCATGTAATGTATAAATCTTTCTTGGAATTTGGAAAAAAAATCTTAAATTACCAATGTAGCTATAACCTGCTTTTGTCCTTTTCTGTTACACTTTAGGACCTAAAGTGATCCAGACTTCTGCGGCAAATTTTTCTCTAAATAATAGCAAAAAGGTAAGACTGGATCTGAGTGGCAGCTGGGTGGTAGGGTGCATTGTAAACCTCAGGCCACTGAGAAATGGTTCTGCTTAGAGTCTAAGGCAGCCTGCCCCTGCCTTGTGGCTTCTGAGGCAACACATTTCTTACTCCATTGTCAGCTGCTGGCTTCTGGGTTCTCGTTTGCTAAAATGACCATTTCTGCTGTAATAAATACCTCAGTGCTTAGGAACATGGTGGTATTACCTCTTAGGGAGCAATTGTTCATTCCAAAGAGTGGTTAACTCATCCTGATTCCTTGCATCTGTTAGTCCTATCAGATTGTAACTTTTAATAATGACACCACTTACATGTCTCATCTTTCTTATTTTGCCCAAGTTAAGAATTGGCCTCTGTCAGGTTTCTGATGATCCAGTTCTTTCCAATGATTACTTTGCATTCCTTTTGTGAACTCAGTTTAAATGAAAAATCCCGTTGAGCTAGGTGGCTCATGCCTGGAATCCCACCACTTTGGGAGGTCAAGGCGGGTGGATCATGAGGTCAGGAGTTCGAGACCAGCCTGGCCAGTATGGTGAAACCCCATCTCTACTGAATATACAAAAATTAGTCAGCCGTGTTGATTGACATGCACCTGTAGTCCCAGTTACTGGGGTGGCTGAGGCAGAAGAATCGCTTGAACCTGTGAGGCAGAGGTTGCAGTGAGCCATGATTTCACCACTGCATTCCAGCCTGGTGGACAGAGTGAGACTGTGTAAAATAAATAAATAAATAAAATCCTTTTAAAAATATGCCAACTTTTTATCATCTTTGGTGAAAAGAGAGGTTCTTTCAATTGGAGAATTTTGGATTTCTTGAATAAATAGTAGTGAGAGCTCAGACAACTAAAACTTTTTTGTATGTGTGTAAGAAACATGATCTTTATCTATAAATGGAACACAGTTGCCCTGCATCTTTGAGGCACCATGATATACATAGTTTAAATCTGATTATATGATCCCAAATACCCCTTCTCTTTGTTTTCACACTTCCCTGCTAGTTTTTTACCTTTACAATTTTGCAGAAAGGCAAAAAAAGGAAAAGTACTAGAACGACACCATTTGATTCTTGTCTTCGCTGCTGCTAGTTTGAAGGGCTTCTGGTCAGCCTGTCTTCACACTTTCTTGGCATTGCCGGATTTTCTCTGTCGGCCTGATGGTCTGATTTGAAGAAGTGCCACAGTGGACTTTGCTGGCAGTACATCTTTTACAGTTTCTTTTCTTTTCCTTTTTTTTTTTTTTTTTGAGAAGGATTCTTGCTCTGTCGCCAGGCTGGAGTGCAGTGGTGCGATCTCGGGTCACCACAACCTATGCCTTCTGGTTTCAAGCGATTCTCCTGCCTCAGCCTCCCGAGTAGCTGGGACGACAGGCACGCGCCCCCATGCCCAGCTAGTTTTTTTTTCGATTTTAGTGGAGACAGGGTTTCACTGTGTTGGCCAGAGTGATCTCCATCTCCTGACCTCGTGATTCGCCCGCCTTGGCCTCCCAAAGTGCTGGGATTACAGGCATGAGCCACCGTGACTGGCCCTACGATTTCTGTCTCTCAGAGTGTGAGTCTCTTTGACACTGAACACAGCACCCATTCCAAGAGACTGTCCTCACTTCACTAAGCCGGTGGCTATCCCTGGAGGGGTTTCTTGCCTTGGTGGTTTTTAAGCAAGTCTTCTGTCCTAGCGAGTTTCATTGAGACTTGGACAGAAGTATTAAAACACAAAAACAACACATTCATTCTAGACTTGCCTGGGCAACATAGGGAGACCGTGTTCTAGAACAAATTAAAAAATAAGCTGGGTGTGGTGGTGCACACCTGTAGTCCCAGCTACTTGGGAGGCTGAGGTGGGAGTATCATTTGAGCTTGAGAGGTTGAGGCTGCAGTGAGCCGTGATTATACCACTGCACTCCTGCACTGGGTGACAGCACGTCACTGTCTCAAAAAAAAGGAAAAAGAAAACCAACACATAAAACAAAAAATAACACATTCACCAGCAAAGACGATGCATTCAAATAATGCTTTTCTTTGGAACCATGGGTGGGCTGCTTCACCTCTCTCTCTGGCCTACTACTATTAGACACCGACATTATATCTTTAAAAGATAATGCAGAAGAATCATTGGCAGCATCATCACCTCTAATTATTCTCCCTGGTGTGAAAGCTTTCTTTCACAAAGCTAAAAATAGCATACGTCAAAGAGCAACTTGCCTGGTATATGGATACTAAAGAAATAACTTTTGAGATATGTTACCTTGTAAATATGAAAGTATTTCTTTGGTATTCTTTATTATCTTACTATATGTCTCATCATTCTGCTCCTTTTATTATTTTTCCAAGATTTTTTTTCTTGGTATTTAAGTAGGTGTGTTTTCCCCAAGGCTCCAAGTGTGTAACGTGCCTGCTTAGAGGTTTCCGTGAGAGACAGATAGGAATTGCAGCTGGAAGTTAGTCCTTCCTTTTTTCTGGAAGGCAGAATTTCGCTTATGTTGTTGAAAGGAAAACCTCACATATTTCTGTTTCAGAGCTAACACTCAAACCTATTTTGCTAAATGTAAAGTTTGTGTATTAAGATGATGAGGTGTTTGGTAGACTCAGTGAAAAGGTCACATGGATTACTTTGTTCTTTTTCTGCAGCTAAAGCCAATTCAGATACTTTCAAATCCACTGTCTACATATAATCAGCAACTATGGCTGACATGTGTTGTTGAGTTGGATCAATCAAAAGGTACGGATAATTTGTCTTTGTGGGAAGCATTGTATTTTAGATGTTGACTTCAGAATATTCAGACAAGTGCTCAAAGATAGATGTATAAGGATATCCATTATTATTTATCATAGCAACAAATTGGAAACCTCTCAAATGTCTTTCATTGGGGGAGAGAGTGAGTTACGATAGATCTACGTCCTCGGTAGAGTCCTGGTCAGCTTAGCTCAGTGGCTGCATGGTGTCGGCCTGCAGCTGCCAGCCTTTTTCAGTGGGGATCTGGGAGAGAATTAAGATCTGATGCTCTAAAGTAATGGTTCTGGCCCCCAGGGACACTTGACAATGTCTGGAGACAGTTTTGTCACAAATGGAGAGGAGGAGGGAGTGCTCCTGGCATCTAGTGGGTAGAGGGCAGAGATTGCTGACACCTTCACTTGCTTCCACAACAAGGAATTATCTGGCCCAAAATGTCAGTGGTGCAGAGACTGAGAAACCCTCCCCCAACGCATCCATTGTTTATGACGAATTAGCTTCCGTCAGTCTACAGTGGCACTAGCTTTGTATCATCCTAGGGAGAATTGAGAAGATACTCACCCAAATCATTTTCTGTTCTGTGCTTCAGATGAGACACTGGTAGAGAAGGAATTTGAAAAGATCTCCCCATGACCACAGTAAATGAAGTGAAACAAATGCATATTACAAAGAAGTTATTCCCTCTTTGTAACTGTTTAGAAAGCAAAAAAGTCATACTACTATGTATTTGTATGTCTAGAAAATGGCCTGGAAGGACAGACACAAAATAGGAATTATGATTACCTCTAGGTGGTGAAATTCTTAGTGTTTAATGCTGTCTTTATGTTTTGTTATGATTTTTTAAAAATGAGAGTATAATTAGGAAAACAATAAATAAGAAATCCCTTTCTACTTTGGTATAGAATTTGGTAAATTAAAAATGTATGTGAGAAATTAAACATACAAGTTTATTGGCCATGAAATATTTACCATTTTCTTGTGTGAAGTGAAACTGATGGATCTGAAATGCAGGTTTTGATTTAGGCCCCTGGTGCTGGCTTGGGATCTAATGGAAAGGCTTTACTTTGCTGGGCAAATAGAAATTTCCAAATGTTCTGAGGCCAATGTGGCCTATGGACCTATGGGCTTTCTGTGTTTTCCTGTTGGCTCTGAGGTCATTACGGAGCCAGGAAGGCACCTTTGGAGGTGTGATGTGCCTGGCATGGTCTCTGACACTGAATTTTTTTCTTTTGTAGAAACTTCTATTAAGACAAGCTTTCCCATGACTGTTAAAGTCGATGGTGTAGCTCAAGATGGAACCACGATGTACATTCATAACAAAGTTCACAACCGGACAAGGACCCTCACATGTGCAGGGGTGAGTGTGTGGGGTGAGCCCCACAGTCGGTCCTCGGGCTGCGTACACGTTTAATTACAGAGCCGCTTTCCCATGTAGAAATTAGCGTGGTAAGAGGCTTTGAGAAATTGTTCTTAAGTGAAAAAAATGGAGTCATACCAAAGATGGCCTGAGAAACTTACTTAATTTTTTGCTTGGATACCCTTAGAAATTCTTATAAACTTACACATGTATGTACACATCCATAAACACACACGTGTGCACACACGTACTGCCGGCTACCCTGAGCATATGTGGTACTTGTTTTTACAGTGTGTGTGACCTGCTGCCTGGTGTGTCCTTAATGAACATCATGGGCTGCCATCTCATAGGAAGGTCTGCCACCAGCTATGGTCACTAGTTTTTTGTTTTTTGTTTTTTTTGAGAGGGTTTTGCTCTGTTACCCAGGCTGGAGTGCAGTGGCACAGTCATAGCTCACTGCTGCCTCAAACTTCTGGGCTCAGGCAGTCCTCCTACCTTAACCTCCCAAGTAGCTGGGACTACAAGTGTGTGCCACCAGGCCTGACTAATTTTCCATGGTCACTCTTGACTGAGGCTTTGGGTTGTTCCCAGCCATGTGATGCATGCCTTCATCCGTCTGTGTGAAACCGAGTACCTGGGCCTCTTGTGGGTCAGGGGCCTGGGGCCTGCCTTTTTGAGCATCTACTTTAGAGCACAGTGTGGCTAAGGGATAGGAAACCTGGGGTCCAGAATGGGGAACGAGCCCTCGTGCTTGATTTCATTGGCACTGTATTCTCTTTAGAGCCCGAAGAACCAGAACCAGATCCCTGCTATAGCAAGGAGTCCACCTCGGATGTAACACAGGTTATTGGCAGCATAGAGAGCATCAAAACATGGAGAGCATCAAAACAGGGCAGCGCATTTGCTTATAGGATTAGAAAAGTAATGTCAGAAGCCAGGTGGCAAGTAGTTTCTCTGCTAGGCGTCATGCCAGGTACTGTCCACTCATTGTCTCATTCAGTCCTCATGGCAGGTCCATAAAGTAGAAGCTGCTATTAGAGCCTGTTTTATAGAAGAAACTGAGGCCGAGAGGTCTAAACCATTGCCCAAGGTAATGCAGTTTTTAAGTGGAGGGCTCAGGATTTAAGCCTGTCCCCTTTTATTCTGAAGCTTGTGGCCTTAACTACCATGCATACTGCCTGATTACTAGCACTACATACACTGAACCTGTTTTACCTGGCAAGAAAGGATTAAATGGCTGGGCGTGGTGGCTCATGCATGTAATCCCAGCACTTTGGGAGGCTGAGGTGGGAGGATCATGTGGGACTGGCCTCTCATTCTGCCTCCAGGGGTTGAGCCAGCTTCCTAAGTGTATTTTCCCCATCTATCAAGTGGGGATCAAGCCCTCCCTTCCTGCCTTAGGAAAGCAGTAAAGATGCAGGTGAATAACGTTTGAGTGTGCCCTATGTGTGCAGCACGAGGTCTTATCTGACACTCATACCTCTTGTCCCCCAACCAGGCCTGTGTGCAGAAGGGGTATGATCAGTCTTGCTGAATCACAGGAGGGACAACAGATATGAGTGTCAGATGGGACCATGGCCCAAGAAGCCGCCCTCTTCCCATCCCAGGGCCTGGTGGCCGCTCCCACCTGGACAGCTGATAACACCCACCTTGCTGCCTCTTAGACTGAGGCTCCAGGGACCATTAGTCAGGGTTGCTTATTTGGAGCTGGTGAGATTCATCATCCTGGTTTGCCTGCACTGAGTGGTTTCTCAGCACACAGGACTTTCTGTTGGGACAAGTGGGTTGCCCTACCTAAAGCCTTTGCTTCAAGCAGGGTACCTGCCACCACGCCTGGCTGCCACGGTGCTGGCTGGCCTGCACTGTTGCTTCTTGGATGTGGCTGCCATGCCATGCACCTTGAGACTGCTGCTTCAGTGCATCTCTGTGGTTTCTTCCCTCTTCCATTTTGGCCCTACCTCAGTTTACACTGTGTCACCCCTTGGGTGCTTCTGTTTCCTGTCTACTCAAGTCTCTCTCTAACCCTGCAGAGAGCACTGTCCTGGCTTTTAAAAACATAGCATTTTAAGTAGACATTACAGAGACATTTACCTCTCTCTTATATTACTTTTTTTTTTTTTTTTTTTTTTTAAACAGTCTTGCTGTGTTACTTAGGCTGGCTTTGAACTCCTGGGCTCAAGCAATCCTGCTTCAGCCTCCTAAGTAGCTAGGATGACAGGTGTGCACCACTGTGCCTTGCTTGCTTTTTTTTTTTTTGCTTTAAAGAAAAGCCATTGTCTGACTTAGGAAGTAAGGCTTTCCACACCTTGCAGGTGAGAGCCGTGGTACCATCACATGATTTTCAGAGGTGCATCATAGTCAGCAGCGGAACCATGGTTTGAGCTTGGGATTTCAGAATCCCTGGTGTAGTCTTTTTTTTTTTTTTTTTGATATGGGGTCTTGCTCTATCGCCAGGTTGGAGTGCAGTGGCGCAATCTCAGCTGACTGCATCCTCCGCCTCCTGGGTTCAAGCGATTCTTGCGCCTCAGTCTCCTGAGTAGCTGGGACCACAGGCGCATGCCACCGGGCCCAGCTATTTTTTGTATTTTTAGTATAGACCGGGTTTCACCATATTGGCCAGGATGGTCTCAATCTCTTGACCTCATGGTCTGCCTACCTCAGCCTCCCAAAGTGCTGGGATTATAGGCATGAGCCACCATCCCCCGCCAATCTTTTTAAACTCGTCAGTATATGCAGCCTGAGATACAACTCTTTCGTTAATTAAAACATCCCTGAAAAGTGACACAAATTCTTAAACTCTCAAGAAATGTTTGTCTACACAGCAAAAATGTGTTTACAGATTTTCAGCCATCCCTTCCTGATGAGGCCAAGTCCTTAGCCACCCCTGTCTCTGTGCATCATCCCATGTCTGAATGCCAGAGGGGAAAGGTGAATGTCGTTTTGCTGAAAAGGTGGACCACACACTTCATGCCCAGAGGGCAGGCAGCAGATTCCAATGAGGAGAGCTCATCAGGTGGAAGGGAAGCCTCAGCTCCAGTGCATGAAAATAGCAGATGACCTGTGTTTCCTTTATAGGAGAGTGGGAGGTGGGCAGGTGGCCAGCCAGAGGGCTTGCAGCCCCCTCCTGGGGGAGCCTCTCCCTGTGGAGCACTATGGGCTTCGGTGCAGGCCCAGGGCTGCCAGTGAGCTGAAGTGTTTGGCAAGTTGAGATGGTGACCTTAGTGCCTCCGTCAGCCCCCTGCACTCCCCTCCTCTCTTCTTTCTTCCCCTTCCCTTAGGTCAGCACCCCACTGTGTCACCCAGCCTCATACCTTCTCCTCCCCCCTCCCTGACAGTTGCCCTCTTGTCTTTTTGTTAATTTGTTTTTGAGACAGTTTTGCTCTTGTTGCCAAGGCTGGAGTGCAGTGACGTGATCTTGGCTCACTGCAAGCTCCACCTCCTGGGTTCAAGCAATTCTCCTGCCTCAGCTTCCCGAGCACCTGGGATTACAGGCGCCTGTCACCACCCCTGGATAATTTTCTGTGTTTTTAGTAGAGATGGGGTTTCACTGTGTTGGCCAGGCTGGTCTCGAACTCCTGGTCTCAAGTGATCTGCCCGCCTTGGCCTCCCAAAGAGTTGGGATTATAGGTGTGAGCCACTGTGCCTGGCGGCCGTCTTGTCTTTTTAAGGCTGATGTGTAAAACCCATACGCACACCTGTTTACTTACCTGACCTCAGACATTCGAGGCTTGGCCAACCATTGGAGCGATGCCCTGTTATCCAGAGAACCACTTGTTTGCTCCAGGTAGCCGCCGGATGGTGGAGAGTGACATTCCAAAAGGCAGGGCCAGGGCAGAGCTTGCTGGAGAGGAGTGGCCAGCTCTGTGTGCATGGCTGGTGGGTGTACTTCTGTGTCCCTGCATGAGGGTTCATCCTCCCTGCCACTCTAGAAGGGGGTAACAAAGCATTGGAGATCTGGCTCTTAATCCTAAAGGAGAAAAGGAAGGGGCTCTTGACAACAGTGGAGCACACATGTCCGCACTTGCTGCTGTGCACACAGCTTTTGCTTTGACTCTGAGTGGAGGGTGGAGGGAAGGTGGAAGGTTGACGGTTGGAGGTGGACGGTGGAGGGGAAAGGGGGCTCCAGGTGGAGAATGACGTTAAAAGGAGAGAAAGAAAAATATGTAATTCACTCTTTATTATTACAACAACGTAAAATTGGGCCAGGGAGGACAAATTAGGCTGCAGCATCTGTGTTGACGTGTCTCTGCTTACGTTTTCCCTGTGCTCTGGTATTATATAATTATGGAAATGTCAGGCTTGCACTGCACTGTTAAGTTTCTTACACAGTGACTTATTTTCAGTCATCCAAAGTAGAAAGATTCCAATTGGTGTAAATCATATATTGTGTTTCCAAAAGTATCCATTTGGTTCATTCTTTCTAGGAACTGTTTTTGGCTGGCTTCTGACTTTCTCTGGCCTTTTGGCGAGTTCCCTGGAGACGATAAGTTCCACTCATCTGCTGTTGAAATGTGCTATTTCATGGGTCATTTGGTGGGAGCCTGAGTCTCACTTTCTTTAAAGACAAATCTTCCTTGTATATTTGCAGAAATGTGCAGAAATTATTGTGGCTCACCTTGGCTACCTGAATTATACTCAGTATACAGTGAGAGTGGGATTTGAACACCTGAAGCTCCCCATCAAGGGAATGAACTTCACAGTAAGTATACCAGCCGACTGCACATTTCCATGGCTCCCATTGTTTTGCTGAGTGATTGAAATGCATCTCAGCATCTAAATAATGTTGTTTTGGACAGTGGAGGACATGTAAAGTGTTTAAAAATTACAGGAAAACTACAGTTTCTTAAGTATATAGAACCAAGAATAGCTTAAGGAAATAGCATGGAGATTGGGCAAATGTTAGGTGGTCCGAGATTTAGAATAGAGAGGGTGTAGTGTGTTCAGTTGCAAGGCAACGAAGGGGTTAGCAGGTCTACCCTCCTATGGACTCAGCACTCCCTTCTCCAGCCCCATGAGTGGTCATCAGCCCCTGCCTCAACTCCCGATAAATGGGAGGGCACTGTTCTCGTTGTTAGACTGGCCTTTCTTGTGTCCAGCTGAAATTTGCCTTTTCCACTCATTAGGAAGTAGTATAACCAGCATAGTGACGAGGAGCCGGGGTTTGGATTGGACGGTGAGCTGGGTTCTCACCCACCTCCATCACTCCTGTGATTTTGTTGAGTCTCAGTTTTCTTATCTGTAAAATAGCTACCTCATAGAGCTGTGAATATTAAATGAATATATAACAGATGCCTTCAGAAAAATAACAGCTTTGTCAAAGTGAAAAGTAGCACAGTCACAGAGTTGTCCAGTCAGTCTGGTTCCAAAACAGTTATGTTGCCCCTGAAACCTGCTAATGGTCATTTCCCATCCCCTCTCCAGTCCCTGGCAGTTGCTAACGTTCTTTCAGTCCCTGTGGATTTGCCTGGTTGGACATTTCATATTAGTGGAATCTGCTTTTGCTTAATGTGGTGTCTCAAGGTTCATTGGGTTTTGTGGGGTCCGTACTTCTTCATTTTGCTGAGTGATACTTTGTCGTGTTGCTAGACCACATTTTGTTCATCCCTTCATCAGTTGACAGACATTTGGGTTGTTTCCATTTTTTGGCTAGTGTGAATAAGGCTGTTGTGAACTATACAAAATGAGTTTTCTTCTCTCTCTACCCTGTAGTTCTTTGAAGGCAGCCATCTCATCTCCTCTGAGATTCTTCTTTTCTTTCACATTGTGCCAGGGATGTGACCCCTCTCCATCCCTCTGGCTCCAGGTTTCCCTCCTGCAGCTGCCTGGATCAGCCGGCTTCGGGAACAAGTGCTCCCAATGTGGAAGGAGCAGGTGGTCCTGGGCTGTGCTGCTGGGGCAGCTGACCCGGCTCTCTTGGGAGCCTCGTCACGAGTGGCCTTTTCCTTTATGGCCCTTTGCCTCAGCCAGCCTTTTCAGATCTTTTGGATCTGGATCTGGGGTCTGGTCTTGCTGTCTGAATGATCTGCTGGATCTTTATCCTCAGAGAATCTAATTAGTATTCTGCTTGTGTCCCCAGGTTCACGGTTTGGGGGATCCCAGATGGGGTCTGAGGCAGGTGCACTGAGCTTCAGCACACTGTGACGTAGTGCTTTGCTAACCCATCTGTGCTTTAGGCTTTGCTAGTTCAGAATCATTCTGATTGAACAGTGCAGACAAACAAGGGACCTCGCCCTTCCATCATCATCTTTATTAGAACCTCGTCTCCCACACGCCTTTTATGGTTCTCAGCATCTTTCTCCCAAGGCTGTAGTCCATCCTGACTGTATTTCCTGGGTGTGTGCCTCACTGTTTTGTTTGTCTTTGTTTTTCCATCTTTTGTGTCTATTTATGTTTCCTCTTAAAGTTGTTCCTGAAGAATTTGGTAGGGATCTTAGGTGAACTAGTTCCATGCCATTCTGCCATTGGAGGCAAGTGATACAATGTTGCCGTGAAGCTCAAAAGGAATGGATTCAAAAGACACTACCATGGGAACCACTCACTTTGAATTATACCACAGCCAGAGCAGAGCATCATGTTTGGTGGCACTCTTCAGCATCTGGAAGGACAGTCCTTAAGACCCTTGGGATATGTAAGGGATGTCACTGGAGACTTTTCTATGTTTTTATGTTTTGTATCCCCGGCAGCTAGTGTAGCACTCGGCAGCTGCTAGGCTTGCAATAGATACATACTGGTTAAATGAAAGAGCAACAGTACAGCACCTTACAAATTCAGAAATTCACATGGCAGCAGACTTCTGAAATTATGTTTATCCTTGCTGTAAACCAAAGATGAGAGAGTTCAAGAATGAACGCCGTTTTTTAACCAATGAGTTTTGCATAGATTGGGCTAGGCGGCAGTAGCTTATGCCTTAATCCCAGCACTCTGGAAGCCCAGTATAGGAGGATTGCTTGAGCCCAGGAGTTTGAGACCAGTTTGGGCAACATAATGAGACGCCATTTCTCTCTTTTTTTTGAGACAGAATTTCTCTCTGTCGCCCAGGCTAGAGTGCAGTGGCATGATCTTGGCTCACTGCAACCTGCACCTCAAGCAATTCTCCTGCCTCACCCTCCCTAGTAGCTGGGATTACAGGTGTGCATCACCACACCCAGCTAATTTTCATTTATTTAGTAGGGACAGGGTTTCACCACGTTGGCCAGTCTGACTTTGAACTCCTGACCTTAGGTGATTGACCCAGCCAAGAACCCATCTGTAAAAAAATTTTTTTAAATTAGCCCTGCATGGTGCTGCACACCTGCAGTCCCAGCTACTAGAGAGGCTGCGGTAGGAGGATCGTTGAGCCCAGGAATTTGAGGCTGCAGTGAGCTGTAATCCCTGCACTCCAGCCTGGGTGACAGAGCGAAACCTTGTCTCAAAAAGAAAAAAATGCAAACATTAAAAACAACAACAACCAAAAACATCCAGGTTTGTGAAATGCAAGGACACAAGTTTTCTCATACACATGTATGGGGTGTAAACTGATTGAAGTTGTGGGGTAATTTGGCAGTGTAGAAAAGCCTCTACTTCCACGTGCTTTTTGACTTTTAGTAATTCTAATTTTAGCAATTCATACTAAGGAAGTAGAAATATACACAGTGATTTATGTTGAAACCTATTCCTCAGAGTAAGAAGTTGGGAGCAAATCTGTATTTCAGCGATAGATTTCTGGTTAAATAAATTAGTTGTGTAGCTGCTAAAATAGTAAGTTAATAGGATAGATAGCACAAACTATATTTAAGCAAAGAAAAGCACATGAATTAGAAGTGTCTGTTGTAGAATACTGGAAGTGTAGAAGGCTGTCTCTGGATGGCAGGATTAATCTTTAATTTCTTCCGTGTTTTCCTTTATTTCCAGTAATGAATGTTTAGTATTTTTATTACCTGTAAAGAAAATTATTTGACAACGGAACAGAAACTCTTGAGGCAACTAATATTTGGAGGGGGAAGTTCTGGGCACATGCCAGTATCCATCCCAGAACCTCAGGTGCTGGTGAGCTCTGCATGCTGTTTGTTCTGGTCAGACTCAGTATCCTCGGAGAATCACATAATCAGCATTAGGCTGGCAGCTTAATGCTGATGATGTAGAGAGATGCATGCACTAAGGTGCGGTGGCTCACGCCTGTAATCCCAGCATTTTGGGAGGTCAGGGTGAGCAGATCACCTGAGGTCAGGAATTTGAGACCAGCCTGGCCAACATGGTGAAACCCTGTCTCTACTAAAAATACAAAAATTAAGCCGGGTGTGGTGGCAGCTGCCTGTAATCCCAGCTACTCAGGAGGCTGAGCGAGGAGAATTGCTTGAACCTGGGAGGCAGAGGTTGCAGTGAGCTGAGATTGTGCCACTGCACAATAGCCTGGGCAACAAAGAGTGGAACTCTCTCTCAAAAAAAATTAGAGAACTGCATGCAAAGTGTTTCTATGTCTTTTATAAAATTGCTGTTGAAGACATTGTGTTATGAACGTTAAACCTCTAAATATAACTTTTTTCACATTATTATTATTTAGAGCAATTTTAGATTGACAGCAAAATTGAGAGGAAGGTACAGAGAGTTACTATATGCTCCCTCTGTCCACTCATGCACAGCCTCCCCATTGCCAACATCTCCCACCAAAGCGGTACTTTTGTTAGTTCATGATCCCACGTGGACACACCACTCGCAGTCCATCATTTACATTAGGATTCCCTCTTGTGTTGTACATTCTGTGGGGTCCACTATTTCTAGTACCACAGAGGGTCATTTCAATGCCCTGAGAATCCTTTGTGCTCCACCTGTTCATCCCTCTCTCCTCCTCAGACCCCTGGCAACCACTTGTCTTTCAACTATTTCCATGGTTTTGCTTTATTTTTTATTTTTTTGAGACAGTGTCTTTCTGTTGCCCAGGCTGGAGTGCAGTGTCGCGATCTCGGCTCATTGCAACCTCCGCCTCCCAGGTTTGGGTGATTCTTGTGCCTCAGCTTCCGGAGTAGCTGGGACCACAGATACACACCACTATGCCTGGCTGATTTTTGTATTTTTAGTAGATAACGGGGTTTTACCATATTGACCAGGCTGGTCTCAAACTTGTAGCCTCAAGTGATCCAGCCTCCCAAAGTGCTGGGATTATGGACATGAGCCACCATGCACACACAGCCCCTACATTTTCAGCTTACATGGGTAAATATCAAAGAGCAAGACCAGAATTTCTTTTGCTATTTGTTGTAATGCCTTTTATTAGAGATCAAAAGCCATGGAATGCATCACATTTCTGTCTTGGTACTGGCTGTCAGAAATTTCAGAAGTAAGTTTTTTGCTGAATTGTAGTAATTACTGACATCCTGGTATGGATTTCTAGTGTAATTATCTGCATTCTTTCTTCACTCTTTTGCCTTTTAATAAAACTTAAAAATTATTTCTATTTAATCTGGCCTTTTATTACAAGCTGCCTTCATTTCTATTTGGAAATAAGGTATAATGAATAGACAGACACTAACGGTATTTTAGTGATGTTACTACACACCCATCAGAATGGCAGAAATAAGATGGAATATGTGGAATTTGGCAAGGATGTTGGACAGGCGGATGTGGGGCTCCCTGCTGGGGAGCAGGTAAGTTGATAGAGCAGAAAAGCATACATATATTACCCAAAAGACATGCGGTTACATGTTCACAGCAGCACAATTCTTA